GTACTACCGACACGATGGACTCAAGTGCCTCCAGTTGCTCACATGACATAGGTGAATCATGTCCCTTACACGAGGTCGCCGACGAGTTGGCCACATATGCTCCATAGACAGAGGCGAAGCAGGTATCACACATAGTTGTTGAAGCTCAAGCATGACCTGCAGCACAGGGGTGATGATCACGATGATGGCCTCTCCCTCAGCGGTAGACGGCACAGAGGGCAGGCCAAACAATGACGAACTAACCCCAACATGAAGGGAGAAACAATTGAAGAGCTTTGTACCCTTGTCTTCCGCAAAACCAACACCAGAAACAACAGGAGGTCGCGACGTCGAAGTAGTCGACAACATAGTCGGCACGAGGGAGAGCTTGCCCAGAGCAGCCTCCACCTACTCCAGAAAGCTCCCAACCCGCGCTAGCAAGCCTTGCAACAGCTTGGACTGATCTGCCAGAGCGGACTGCAACACCACATCAAACGGGGTTGTCGAGCCAGCTATACTAGAGAGGCAGAGATGACATATGCCCAAGACTCACGACGAAGCGCCTTGGAGGGAAGCACAGACTTCATCGGACCTCCACGGGAAGCTAGAGTTCGACGATTCTCGATGCCGAGGCGGGGCTGGGACGACACGACAAGGCATGCCGACAAGCAGAGTGGACGCCAGGGGTTACGACACTCGCGCGCACGGTAATCGTTCTTCAAACAGCGGGAGCACCAAAGGGAATCTCGACAAACAGTGCATGGTGCCCAAGAGCGAGGCATATGCAACATCTACCATGAAGCCAGGCGGGGATAGGACGGGAGTCAACACCGGGGCCGGTGGTGCTGGACGTTGCGACAACACCTCCTACCATCCTGTCTGGCACCGCCTCACACCCCACACACGGCTGAGCAGTTGGAGGTGAGCAATTGGTAGCCAGTGCCACCTGCGGGGCTAGCACTCCGTCTTCCTTGGCCTCGTCGTCATTGGCGAGGGAGGCCCACATCACAGGCCGCCCAGGCACCATTGTATTTTTTCAAGAGTGCGCAAATTGCGTACCATAGCTTTATAGAAGAAGAGAATTGCAAGTACAAGATGACTAGCACTTGTTGCGAACAACGAACGTAGCACCCACTCCATAACCGGCTAGTCCAAAGACAACCAGCAACGGCAACACAACTAGGACGCAAAAGACCCTACCCTAATTCGAAAACCTCACCGCGTCTCGACCGACGTCAGTCACCTCTGAAGAACAACAGCTCTCACCAAGCTTCCCTCGTCAACGCACCATCCCCCCTTGATGCCTAAAGGAGGTGGCAAGAGGATGGCAGGACTCGATCCAACCCAACAAAGGCACCGTCCTGGAATCACCACCGACGACCGTACATTGCGCCGGAGAAGAACGAACAAGGGTAGCGGCGAACACCGATGGAGCACAACATAGGACCTCCAAACCATGTCTCCTGCCACGATGCTTCCAACAGAGAGAAGGCATGGAAGACGCCGCCATCGTGCTGATCCCACACCGAATCAAGGCTTTCGTCCGGAGACAACTGCCAACACCAAGAAGACAAGGGAAATGGCAACACACTCGACGACACCTCCAGGGAAGGGAATGACACCCGCAGTTGCCATCGTCGCCGACCCAGCGAAAACCGGACAGGATTTTCATCCATAATGTCACTCATCTCCACACCTCAAGATTTGGGGAAGCAATGTCCATGAATCCTCGCACCGCCGTCACCGCAGCAAATTGTCGACGAAGCTGCATAGCCGTGACCCTCCCACACCAGCACTGCCGAGAGAACATGCCACCAACAATCCAGACGAGGAGTCGCCGCTTCCTACCACGTCGTGCAAGGGCCTGCTCCACCACGTCGGCCTTCACCCGCACCAGGGGACTGCCAGGCGATGGAAACAACCCCAAAGACCCAGATCAAATCAGACACGAATCAGATCCGGCCCGCACCTCCATCCACAAATTCAGCGCCCACACCTCCGAGAGCACCACCGCAAGCCCCTCACGAGGAGGCGGTCGGCCGCCCGCTGCCCGCAGGATCTCCTTCCTGGCTGGGCCTCCTCGGTGTCGCCGCCTCCATGGCGGAGCTCGCGTCGCCGCCACAATCAATGTCCGCGCACCACCAACCTCCACCATTCTGCAGCAGCTCGCCTGGATCCGCCTCTCCATCGCCCTCTCCGTCGTGCGCCGGCGACCATCGCCGCGAATCGCGCCGCCGGTCACCCCACCACCATGGCCGCCCCCGGAGGCGTCCCGCTCCGCGCGAAGGAGATCCGTCGGGACGGCGGTAGCGGCCGGAGGAGGCGATCTGAGGATCTAGTTGTTCTAGGGTTGGGGGAGCCTCCAGAGCCGCAGACGCGTGCGACCCGGGAGGCGAGGAATGTGGCCATCAGAGCCCTTGTATCATCACGCAAGGGGTAATGCCATCCGAGGTAACCTGGACAAGGGCATCGTCCTGAGCAGCAGAGGCTTGCGTCAACACGATAGGGACGGACAACGGCGGTGGCAATAGAAGAGTCTGGGACTCGTGGACGACCGAAGGCATAAGGGGTCATTGCGCCATGGCGACCGCGGCTAGGGGAGGCTCGTCACCGGGTAGGACAAGCCCCCCAACCAGCGTAGACCGCGGCGCGGGCTGCAGCAGCATGGACGAAGAGCCTGCCGTCGCTCCTGACGTCTCGGACACCAAATAAGGAAGAGCTCGAGGAATCTTGGCGACCGCGGCTGGGGAGGCTGGCCACCGAGCAGGACAAGCCCCCCATCCAAAGCAGACCGGGGGGTGTGCTCGCCCCCCATCCAAAGCAGACCGGGGGGTGTGCTGCAGGAGCACTGACAGAGAGCCTACCACCGGCTCTCCACCGCTGCTGACGACGGCTGGGAGAAGGGCTCCGGGAGCCATGGCGCCAGCAGCATAGACGAGCTCAAGGGAGCACGGGAGAGCGTGGCTTCAACGGGAGAGGAGTGAGGACACGCAGGGGGTACCAGATCCGGTCGAGGTTGTCACGGGGAAGATCGGAGGAAAGAGAAGGAGTCGCCATCGACGCGGTCACTCACCCGTCGCGGAGGCGAGAGCCCAGCAACGCGAACATTCTTCAAAATAACCTCTCTCGCTGTGTCATTCTTTAAAGATGTATACAGCGAGCGATAGAGTGATCTATCATTGATTTTACTTAATTTGGTTGGGGGGCCCAACCTCCTACACCGCCACACCAGTTTCTTGAAATAGACCCATAGCATATCCGGCCGATGTTGTATTGTGATAGAGAATAATTACTAACTTCGGCAAGATGTTGATGTTAGTTCCACAAAAGGATAGTAGTACTTTCCAGCTTTTCCAGCTAACTAGTAATACATCAAATGGTAGAAGCAGACAAACGCTTTTAGGATGGTAAAGTAACTGATACTCCATCCGTTCCAAAGTTAGTACAAAGTTGAGTCATCTATTTTGGAACGGAGGGAGTACATCCAAAAATAGAAATAAGAAATCGCTTTCTGCGTGGTAGTAGATCTTAAGATGACTGAAAAACACAAAAATAGAAACGGAAAAGCGCTTTCAGAAAGCCAGCGAACGTAAATGCAAAAAGATTGGTAGTAGTTCATCATGTCTGTTAGCTAAAAGAAACAAACCAGAGTTGGCAAGCAAATAGGCTTTTGTTCAATGGCTAAACCAAACAATCTGCATATTACTTAGTTTTGCTACCCATGTTTTTTCCCCTTGTTGCGATCAAACCTAATCAGTTTCCAAGTATAGATAAATGTTTGCAAACAGACGCCACAACGAAACCTCAATTTCCAAATACTGAACCCTGAGCAAAGATCTATCTTCATACTTCTGGAAACCTTCTAAGCTAGTAAGATGTTGACAGAAAGCCGTGTAATCAGATTTCAACAACTCAGATTTCGTTATAGAAAGTCTCTACAAATAAACATCTTCAACTACAGATGGACTGGTCTTAAATGCAACACCCTCTCTTGATAGTGAACTCTAAGACTGGTGGCAAGAGGATAGGGACTCCCAGATCTTTCAGAAAGGAAAATGTATGGAGAGCTTCATTATTTTGGGCCCATGGCACCTATGAAAGCAAAGGAAGGAAAGGTTTTTTCACAAGGAGGCCCAGCCACACCTTTGCAGGATCTTACTGACCTTTGGTAGCAAATCTTTCACTCTTGGGGGCACTCAGGTGGTACGCTGTGCAGCAGTAGTTGCCTGTCTACTTGCTGATGATGTTTTTCTTTCTCTTCTGTTTTCATTTGTCATGTTTTTTCTTTAACTTGTAAGACTTTTACACATACCTTATAAATATACTCCCTTGCATAATTCTAGGAGAAAGGGCGATCAAACACCACACAAGTTAAAGTTCATGCTATTTCAAAAGGAAAATACTACACATATTGAGTTAAGATATGCAAACCATTGGTGAGCAGTCGCTATAATTATGTCCAAGGTATTAAGGTAGAGGCACACAATTAAAAATACTTGGTTCAGCGCATTGTAACACCAGATCGGAACAATGAGAAACTATCAGGCATTTAACTTGCTTAGATCCATGGGGAGCACAAGCTTAATAGCAGGTCAAAGATAAGAACCGCATGAGTCATGCGAGTATTTCATATATAAACTTGGCAGACGTAAAGAAATACCAAATTAAATGATAACTAGCCCTAGAAGAGGTAGCGATTATCTTTCAACTTTAATGGAGAAAACCTCTACATGAAGCCATAAACATCCAGGTCATAACAGACATTGAAGCATTAAATGCTAACTAAATCAGAAAAACTGTTGCCATTACACTACAACTTCTAAATTGACATGACAGATACAGACAGACTTCCTACTTCACAGCTGAAGCTCGAAATAGGCATGTAAATTAAGTCCAGGAAACTGAACATGGCTGCAAGCTACTTCTAAAGACGTCTACAGATTGGCAAGAGCAGGTACAGAGAATAACCCAGACCAAACTGCAGCGTTGGACCCTACAAGGCGATCAACATAGCATGTCTCTTACCTGATTGTTACAAACTTGTTTGTGCCATGCTTGGCCCAGAAGGTCTTCAAGTCAATTGGATTATTAAGGTTGTACCCTTCACCAGCTAGCTTCTCAAGAACCTTTTTGAATGCACCTTGGCTCATCTTCCTTCCAGCAATACGTGCGCCCCGGCGCTTTGTGTTCATTGGCAGCGGATATGTCGAAATAGAAGTTGTGCAGCATGCAGACTGCCAGCCACCTGCACCCCACCGGTAGCATTGCTGGGGAGCTCCAGTGCATGAGCACACAGGTGTTGGTATCCTTGAAATGTCAAAATCAATACCATTAATTACCATTTCCACAGGCTTAAGAGGACCCCTGCTTCGGGGTGCACGGGCCTTGGGTGCCCCATCTTCCCCTGGAGTAGCAACCTTCTTAGGCTTCTTCGGCTTCGGCAACTTAGGCTGACGACCTTGCTGCCTCTTCTTTACCGGAGGCTTGCTTCCAACCACAGAATGCTCTTCAACCAACGGTGGGGCAATTTTTTCCTCCTCGGGCACAGGAGGCTCCTGTGGCTGCATCATCTGGAGAGTGTGCGCACCACGCGCATCTGGCATCATTCCAAAACCTGTAGGGTGGTGATGCACAGCATGTCCAGGATGTCCAATATGTCCAGCAGGCCCAAGAGGAACAGCATGAAGGACCTTCTGCTCACGGGAATGTTGATGCTGATGCTGATGCTGCTGTTGATGTTGGTTCTGGTGGTGGTGCTGGTGCTGGTGCTGATGCTGATGCTGCGAGGGGTGCATCCAGGCCTCATTGCGCACAAAATCCATGTGAATAGCCGGCGGCTCGGTGGGCATGCCACCAGAGGGTTCGCCGTTACCATAGTCGCGGGGATGATGTGAATGCGGCGGGTGGTGCGGGGCGTTGTGGTGCTGCAAGAAGGTGCCGTTAGGGAGCAGCGGCTTTGTGTCCCGGTGGCCGGCGCCGGCCACAGATGGCATCAGCTGCAGGCCGAGGTTGCCTTTCATCGTCTCATAGAAGCCCCAATTCCGAATGCTCAGGCTGCCGTCGTCGTCCATCTCGGCCGGCCCTGAACAAACGAATCGAAATCCAAGAAACCGAGATTGGAACGAGAAATGTGCTCTTCTTTCGGGCTCTGGACGGTCAGGCTATCCCCACCATTGCATTCCAGACGTCAATCCCTGAGACCTATTTCGAAAAACAAGTAGAAAAAAAATTCAAGGATCCGTAAGCAGGGGCGGATCTAGATGGTGCGCACCGGCACACCCAGAAATTGCGATTGGTGAGTGGGATTTAACAAATCTCTGATTGGGAACAACCCTCATACCTCAAAACCCAATGGCCCGAGATTGCGGACGGGGCGGGGACAGC